TAAAACCTTGTGTCATGCACAGTAAAGGGTACCCGTGACAATAGGGTTAATAGCCTTACAGGCATTTTCAACCTTGGTTTCCATTACTCCTTTTCTCTTGTTCAAGCCCCCTTCCTAAAATTCCATTCCTTCTGATACAACCTCACACATCACTTTTTCTCTTCATCTTCACATGTGGGATTTGCTTGGTTCATCACTTGTCAAGCCAGAGTAACATATTGTGTCGGTTTTTTGTTGTTGCACTCTTGTTGCCTTTCTACTTCTTCTCTGTACCAACATAAATGGTGTACTTATCACTGTTGGTCTATCTTTCACCATTTCCTCTCTGGCTGACCTAATTTACAACATCTTACCTCCTTCTTCACATGGCTATTTGACTGTAGCTTGTCTGTCACTACCATCACGGGTTAGTAGGTGGTGCTATCTACCATCTTTCTCGATACTGCAGGTTTTCTTCTTCACCCTTCCTTACTACCCTCTTCCATTTCTTACTTATTTACAGAGCCCCTTGTCCTACTCCCTTGTTCGACTGGGATCTGAATATGGTTCTTCATGCTCTCACCTGGGATCCATTCAAACCTCTTGCAACTTGTTCTGTATATCATCCCTCTTAAAACATATTTCCTTTTCTTTCTTACCTGTGGTTGCAGTCGTTCTGATTTCTATGCAGTAGATTTCTTCCAAAATCTCTACCATCATATTTACCTTCTTTTTTACCCTGACTTACTCTTCCTTCCCAAGACTTCTGCAGCTAAGGAAGGTGACCACACCTTTTCTCCAATATCCCTTCCTTCTGTATCCCATCTCAATGATTGTATGAACCCAGATAGATTCCTGTGTCCTGTCCAGACTTTTTGTTGTTATCTATGTGGCATGTGGACAATCCCGCACACCTTCATTGCTATCTACACCGCCTGGCTGTCTTGTCTGTGGAGGGATTTAGACTTCTACCGATTAACCATCCTTCAATCCCCTTTTGTCTTTAAACAGGTGATTGTAATTAAAATTTTTTTCTCACTGCTGTTTACCTATAGAATCCCACTAGGCAGCTAGTGTTGACTCACAGGGTATACTTACCCAAAATATGCATCAAGCCAGGATAACAGAAAGTGCTCATACCATCTGCCCAGGTTTTACAAGTGCCTACTGTGAGATTTGGTTTTCTACAAGACCACTTGAGTTGTCCTCATAGGATCTCTCTCTCTCTCTCTCTGTACACACACACACACACACACATATATATATATATATATATATTACTTTCCATGTCCAATCCACACTGTACCCATTCCAGGGACTATCATGGAAAAAAGCTAGCACTGGAGTTGTGTTTCTGCCTACTTCTCTGGCTACCACTTGTAGACTTTTAAAAATAGGGTTTCATGGTCACCCATTGCATTGTTTCCAGTAAAAGACCTCCCCCCTCGTCAAGTGAAGCATGGAAGACCCTTGCCACTTACCATTTCTGAGCTGCTGGGGTGGTGGACCATTGATAATCCTCGCTGGTTGGGACCTAACCACTGAGGCTAGAACAATGGTTCTATCTATGGTGGGAAGTGGGGCTGGAGTGACACCACAGGTCACCACACATATATAACTATGATACATCACAATCTTCAAGTGGACTGATGATACAACTCACTAAACTGATTCTTTTATTTATCTTTATCTTACAAATTCTTCTTCTGCAGCTAGAGTTTGTTCCATAGAGTCAAGGTGAACACTGTTGTTTGTCCATTCCACATCATGCTGAGAAAAAACACACACACACTATTCCAACAACAGACATGTGGCTCTACTGACTGATGGTTGAGTGGATGTGTATATCATGTGGTGCCCTACACCTGCAGCTGGCATGGGACCTGTAGAGACTGGTGGTAGAGGAGGTGAGCACGGATATTTATCACAAGTGCCCTTCTCCCACAGCTGATTTTGACCCATTGAGTCTGATGGTAGAGGATGTGCATATAAGGTACAGTCTGAATGAGCCCCATCTTTACTACACATATTAGCTGTCTGACAGCTTGTGTGCGAGTCCTTGGACAGCCATTTACTTATTCCACTTGTCCTTGTAACATAGTTTGGGTTTTTTGCCTCTTCTTTTCTCCTACATGGGCAAAGAGTATACCTTGGATGAGATGAGATGTGTCTTCCACGGGTATGCCCCCATCAGGTGTCACACCCCATGGGCTTTCTTTGATTGCTTTCTGAAGGGAGATTTATGAGTTAATTTTTGCATCAGTGAGTATTTATTTTGGAAGTTAACATTTTCCTTATCTGAAAATGTATTTTCAATAGGTATTCACCTCTTTACACATTCCCACCCATCCTACCCACTTTTCTGGGGCACATTTCTTCATTGCCTTGTCAAAAAATAAGGATTCATAAGTGCAAATGTAGAGGGAGTCATTGTGCCTAGATATGTGCTGCATGATGACATCCTCATGTAGCGGTGCAAGATCACGTGGTTTCATGTGAGATTAGATGGCAGTTTTCACAAGGCTAGTGACTTACAAATCTAGTTGTCAAAACGTGTTAACTCAAGAGGAAAGAAGCTATTCTGTGTCAAGAGGTCAGCATTTATCAGAAATAAAGTTTCAGGTAAGGAAAATGTGAACATTTGTGCTACAATTTAGCCAAAAATATCCTTGTTTTAATGTAGTTTTTAATTCATTTTGTAAACCTATGCATATTATTCTAATACTAGAAAATGTTTGAACTTTACAGAATTTTCTTGTAAAAGTGTTTAGTCATATATTAGCAAGTCTATAAAAACAATAGGTTTATAATTTTAGTTCAAGTAAGATGATAAATAGGTTCATCAGGCAACATATTGACCAATAGAGAATTCTAAATTCAGTTAGATCTTGAGTGCAATTATTATGATAGAGATACATAGAGACAGAAGTAAACCAGCTAGCTATATCTGTTTGAATGAAAGAAGGTAAGAAACTAAAGTCTACCACTGCTGTTCAGAAATAATGACAATTGTTGCAAGAGTAGCACTACAACCTCTATATTTTGGCAAAGTAAATGAAGATTTTGTAAATGAACTCACCCTCTATTACTACACAGAGGATGAGTAGTGTAAGCAAATGTACTCAAAATACCACTGACACTCTCCATTAGTTTTACTGAGACAATTTGACATTAGCTAATGACGTGACACAAGAGGATTAAGCATTGTGATATGGTTTAATTGTATATTTCAAAGAAATTAGTATCCCCAAACTTGTTGACACTAGAAAAGGACAATTTGAGAAAGTAGATGTCAAAGCTATACCATAGTGAGAAGATAAGTTATGAGTTCTTTGCATTTGAATACTGATGTGATTCCATTAATCAGCTTAAGCAGATTCTTCAAAGTTTAAGTTTAAGTAAAAAAAAAAGCAAATCAAAACTCCTTTTGTAGAAAAAAATAACAAGTGATGATTAGGATCATTAAGTCAAAGTGTCTGGTTCTGGTGTGGTAATCCACCAGAATAGAGACAGGTTCCCCTCATTGCTTTGAAAGATGAAATAAAAGTCTCCACAACAGATTTGGTTGTTCTGTGTTATGATATAATAATATTTCGAAAGGGACTTCAAATTGGAAGGATGTGACTGTATCATGCTCTGATTAATTCATTGGGATAACAAATATTATTTTGTGGTGTAAAATCAGTTATTGTTCAGTGATGTGTTACAAAGATGTTGAAGTAATGTCACTTTTATTGTTGTTGCTGTTACTTCATAATGTAAGTCAAACTCAAAACATTCAGAGTGAGTCAGCACTTTATATGACTCTCTAATAAATGTTACATTATTTATTAATAAGTTAAAGAAAAGAAGAAGCACTGTTTGAGTTCACAAATAGAGGATTCATCAAGTATTGTACAGGAATTTTACAGTAGAAGAAGGTTTAGCTAGAGTTCAGAAACTTTGGTATAAGTATGGATATATAGTATTGCAATATATTGTAAAATTTATATTTTGTATAACAAACTATAGTAAATCCAATTAGAACCAGTTTTTGATACTTGTGAGAAAGTGTAATTTAAACTCATTACTTATTGCATTTTAGGAACTATTTTGCCAGTAGTTCTATTACATTTAAAGTTTTTTGTTTTTCCACTAAAATATACATTTTGTATTTTGCAACGAATCTGTTAGCCATTCATCTATCTAAGTCAAATTGTGTGAAAGTTTATTTTATAAACATTCTCTGAAACTTGTATAAATTTTTTTTCTAATGTAGCTTGATGGGAAGCATGAGTATTCACAGCCATTATCGTACTGAGTCTTTGCTTGATTTAGAAACAGCCAGTATTGGATTTCAGGTAGTTTTACCTTTGATTCATTTTAGGAAACCTTGTATAATTATGATATAGACCACAAAAGTGAAAATCTACATCAAACTTTTTTTTCAAATAATTAGAAGTTTAGGTCACTGGAAAGTTTTAAATCTGGATTCAAAATATCACAAAATGAATAAAAAAAGATTAGGCTGATGAATTAGAAAAATAACATATTGAGACATATTTGGAAACAGGTGTATAAACACAAACGCTAAACAGTAGAGTGATATTAAGGCTTTCTAGTGAAATAAATAATGAATAGATGAATATGCCTTAAATATGGAATATCTAAAACATAAACTTCATTTTGATTGGTTTACTCCTTCCAGCCTTGTATGTGTATCTAGCCTGATTGATATTCTACTTACTTATTGATGTTTTTACCATGTGCTCTGAGTTTCTAATCTGGTTCAAATAATTATATTTTTTTTCTCACATATCTGTAGTCAAAGTCATTATAAATTATCTGCTAATTATATATTACAAGCCTAATTTATAAACATTGATTATTCCTCCCCTCCACATAATGTTTGTATTATAATGTTAATTTTTGTTTTTAACAAAGGGGGGGGTCTTGCCATGATTTTCTCACCCAACTTGACTAGGTTCAGTATTTTGGTTTTACTGCCATTTATAGTATGCTCAAGCCACTAAAACAGTGTTTGAAAGTAATTGGCACAAAGGATGAGACTTATGACTGTTGCCCTTGGAATTTTTCTTTGTTCTCTGTCACATGAGAAAATATTATTTAGTAGGGAACTTCACACGATATTTCTTTCTATATTTACATAATCATAGCAAAAAACATCTTGTGAGATTAAGTTCAATTTTTTTACAGAATCGTACATTGTTTTTGGATATACTTTCCTCCAGATAATCAGCCATTGATTAAATTATCAAATGTGTAGCATATCATTTGTAGTGGAAGTTTTTTTTTAAGTTAACTGATTTTCTTGCATGTATTATGAATAACATTTTATTTATATGTATTCCCCCCCCCCCTTCAAGTAATTGTTTATTAAGATTCAGTAAGAACAACAGCAATTTGGAAATACTTGACATTTCTCCCTGTGTTATTACAGACCAATAAGCATTATTTTTTAATTAAAATGTTATGCTTCTTTTTTCGTAGTGCTTCATTGTGCTACTAGTAATTTCTTTTGGAATTAAGGTATAAATGTTATAAGTCACTAAAGAAAATCATAACACAAGTCAGTAGGAATAGCAAAGTTTCATGTAAATCCCAATATTCTTGCTGATTTTATAGATACAACCATGTTAAATAGTGCTTGAAATTAGTAATAGTTTGTTGAAATACTTAGGTTTCTTACTGTTTCTTATTTTATAGCAAAGAGATGGTTTAAAAGGTTGTTTACCACTCACAATATGTCTCCACTCAGGATTAACACAGTTTATTGCCCTCAACGACCTCGATGGGTATCAACCTAACATAGTATTCTACCCTTCACAAGATTTAATCTTACAAACAAGTGGATCTGTAGATGCATTCATCTCAGGTGTGTGTAATTGTTAAACTTGTAATTTACAACAGATTTGTATGTTTTATCAGGACACTTTTGAGATTGTTGAATTTTGATTTACTCGTATCATTCTGTTCTTTAATACCATTTTGTGTTGTTTTTAAGATGAGCTACATGTAAGCACATCAAAAGCAAAAATAATAGAGTGCCATTATGCAGTATTATGTTCACACAGCCAGAAATACATGTATAATCCAAACTGATGGGTCTTTTTTGTCAAGCCTTGAAGTGATGTTTGACATCTGATAGTAAACTGTAAAGAAATTGTTGACATTCATTTAAAAACATTGTATCATAGGTTCAAATCCTATGATCACATCTTCTCACCTCTTTCAGCTGTGGGAGTGTTATAATGTGATACTTAATTACACTGTGTTTGATTAAAGTAGTCAATGATGGGCGGTATTGGCTAGCTGCCTTCCCTCTAGTCTGTCACTTCTAAATTAAGGATGGCTATCACAGATAACTCTTGAGTAGCTTTGCATGAAATTCAACAAACAAAGGCAGAAGTAATTTAAAAATTTACATTTTTGTTTGGCATTTTTCATACAAAATATATTGGTAAAAGTATTCATTACAAAAAGAACATTTTGTTAAGAGTTACCTCTGATTGAGGTAAAAGTTTAGAAAACTGAACAGTTGAAAAATATCTCCTTACATTATTTTTTTGGTGATGGAGGTGAAAAGGGTAAAATATTTGATACCTTAAATACTTTAAGTTTAGTCAGCATTCTTGTTAATAGGGGCAAGAATAGTATTGCATCAGTTTCTCCAGGTTTGTTATTGACCTCTGTGCAATAATTTACAGTATAAACTGTACTTCTGTAACAATTCTCTAGTGCCTCAGCAGTAACCATCAGGGTTTATAACAGTAAAACTCTGGGTTCATTCTCAGTGGATACCTTTTCACCAAAAAACAAACAAACCTATAACACCAGTTATTAGTTAGTATTCATGTACAGACTTAGCAATTACTCCAGCTGTAAGTGTAAAGAAAGGATACAGTTAAGTAATGAAAAAACAAACATTCTTTACTAAGAGTACAATGTCTAATGTTTTCAGTTCAGTCCTATGCTTATCAGAAGGAGAAGGAGTAATTGTTTGTTTTGTTAACTCCATTGTTGACATCTCAGCAGTTGCTAGCAGTATAAGTTCTGTAACAGTAATTATTGTATACCAGCTGTAAGTATAAAGCAAGATACAAGAGGCAATAGAATAAATAATTTTCATAATAAAAAAGTCTTAAAGTTTTTTTTTTTATACTTTGATGTTAAACTTTTTGTAAAAAATGTTATCTAACTTACTAATAGTTTTGTTTGCTAGATAATAATAGTTTGCATAAATTCTGGTTGATCGGTAGTAATTATATGAACTTATAAGTGAAAGTGAAGAAGGATGTCAAACATGCTATATCTGTTATATCCAGTGCTGACAAGACCTTTCTTTCCAAGTTAGGGTGACTGAGATACGACTGACATTGTGGTTAGATGCTATTTATATCATAAGTTACTTGAAGAACTGTTTTGGGTTGAACTAGATTAAATTGATAAACTGTAATTGATATCAGTTATATTTAAGTTTTTACACATAAGAATTAGGTTTATGATTATCTAGACAAAGCAAAGAACTGTTTTACACATCAGCATTACTGTTGTAAAAATCATATGCCTTTAATGTTACTTAAAAACAGTTAAAAGTTTTAAATTTCAAGTGTAAATGGGTGCTTAGTTATGTTTTAGGAGATGTTTTACAATTATACAGATATTTCAGTTATGAAAGACTAACAAATAAAAATTAATAATACTGCTCCTTTAATGTGGCATTGTAGTAACATATTCAGAACATTCATAGTGGCACTAAAAGTATCTACTTGGAAATATCTTTGCACCATTAATACAGTAATTTCTTTCAAGTTCCTGATTTCTGTATCAATTTTTTTATCTTCAAAAAGCTATTGTTATTCAGAACAAAAATCTGTGTTTCAGATTGTTTTATCATAATTCAAATCAGCCATGATGTCTGTACCTATTGAGGTGTTATTGTTTTGTGGCTAAAAATGTGGTTTGATTAGCAATGAGTACATTAAACTGATTGATTAATGCTAATTATAACTAATCTTCTCTATATGGACTTGGTCATTTTGAACAACCTTGCAACCACTATGTAACCATGAAATTATACATACTATAACTTTTAATGTAGTAAGTGTATCTTCATGAAATTTGGCAAGATTTTAATAAACATTACAAATCTGTTGTACAAAAAAGATCAGATTTTTTAATCAAGTATTTTTACTAAAGATTTGTCTGTGAAGTATGGATTGAAGGTCCAACTCAAACTTTGATTAGTCTGAGTGCAAGGTGGTTTTCATGTTAAAATTGAAAATATTTTTTATTTCACAGTTTTAAGTTTTATTTACATAACCACTAGAACCCTCCAAATGAATATCTAAAAGTTTTTCAATAAATCTATATTCAATCTGCTGTTTTCTCTACTATAACATTGTACACAGGATCAGCCCAATTGACTGGCCTGATAACCACACCACCGCAACAACAACAACAACAACACCAAAAAATATAGCTCACCTTTTTTTCTTTCTAAAATGACTGTATATTGTTACAGACAATTATCAGCTTTTTATTTTTACAGCCAAAACATTTCAAGTCTTCCCATTATTTAGACTTATTGTTTTACTGCCATTCAGAATAGTGCCAAAGAGAATTATCATAGAAGCTTTGTTAAAACATAGGACATTCACTCAACATACAACATGCTACTGTTACAAGACATGCTTGTGCTATGAAGTATTTTTTATTTTAATTTCTTTCATTTAATTTTTCTTATCTAACCATATAAATTTCTAATTTTAACATTTTATTCACTTTTATAACAATAAATAAAAAATATCATTACATGTAGGTTTGTACTTTTTTGCTCTCGAAGTCTTGATGAAAGTTAATCTTATTTCTTGTAGGGGTGTTGTTATTACTTACATTATTTTAATTTACCTTAAATATGGAGTTTATAACACAAAATATCAACATGTGACAGGAAGAAATGTCCTAAAACTCTTACAGTTTAACTGGCTCTCTAACCAAACTATATAAATGTTAAAATATTTTTGTTACCTAGTTGAGGTAAGCTTGGTAATAGCAAATTATGAAATTGATGCAGAATAACTCAAATCAATCCTGAGAATGAGTTAACTTTATGAGGAAAGCAGTGAATTAAAATATTATTTTTCTGTTGGTTATAAATAATCCAACAGTATATGTCAGAGAGTATTATTCACATTTTTTAAAACAGCATGTGCTAGGAGGGGTATAGCATGTGGGTTTCAGTTTATGACATATAACTCATCAAAGGAAGAAAAGATGCTATAAATTTGACCAGGATATCTGACTTATAAGTGTGCAAAACTTAGAAAATAATATAAGGGTGGAAAGAGTTATATAATGGACAGTTCAGAGAAGAGAAGTGTCATGATACATAAAAGTAAAGAACAAGAATTTATCAAAATTTTTCTTTTTGAAATTAAGGTATTAAAACATATATGTCATATTAAAATTTGATTTATAAACAGTGTTTTGATACCAAGTTTATTGAACTAACATTGGTAATAAAGTAGTGTAAAAATTATTTATATAATTTATGCCTCATTTATATTTACATTATTATTTGACAAAATATAATGTTTGCTGGGAAGTCCTTGTATAAATGTTACTCAGCAGGTGGTATATCACTTCTGTGTTTCTGAGATGGTAACTTTGCCTCTTCACACACAAATGCTATTTTCCTCACATGTCTGCTTATGTGATTTGTGTGCCATTATACTTGAGCTAACTTCTGTCTAAATTCATGTGTTTAACATGACTGCACTGGTGCATGGTGACATCATCATGCAAAATTAACCCTCCACCAACAGGAGGGTTACACAACCTCCATGCACAGTAACTCTCCCTATGCTCTTGCACTCGTGATATCATCATTCTTTTCCTTGGTATAATATGGAACAGATGTGTTCAGATTTCTTGTACGAGTTCACTTTGATGAGATTTACATTCATTAATGAAACTTTGGTGTTTGTTTTATATTGGCTTTTGTTTCAAAAGCATTAATTATTATCTTGAGTTCTCAAGTGATGGCAACTTCTACATAGTTCTGAGTGAGTGATGATGTTACACACACAGGCCTTTTTCCTACTTTGGCTCCTGGAAGCTTGTTAACTGTTGGGGACATTGCAGTCTTTGTTCATCATGTTGTGGATTACCACATGTTTATTAGGTCTCCTTCTCCCATTCCTTCAGCTGACTTTCTTACTCCTATTTGAGGAGTGACCTTAACCTTCCAATTTCTTTCTGGATTTTGTTCTCAGGTATGTTCCTTTCCTCATCTATCACCTGTGTCGTTTAATATTGTCTATTCTTCACTCTATGAACCCAATTCTTGGGAATTGCTATGTCTCTTCTCCTTGCTTGTTGTTAGAATTTATTCTGTTTCCTTTCTTCAACAGCTACTCACTCACACCCAAATGCCTCGTCTCCATCACATTTGTGACTTTCTTTGTTCTGACTTGCAGACATTCATCCTTTATAGACTCCCTGTTATTGGTATCTATTTGGACTGCTTGAGGACCAGGCACCTTGCCTTCTATATTGCTCTGTGGTTCCCCATTTATGCCTCTTTGTCTTTTTCTCATCTACCTCCTGGATTCCCTCTCCTTCCACCACCTTTTGTGTGCTACAGAGGAGTTTTGTTTAGAGGCTCATTCCTTTCTCTTTGCCAGCTTAACTTATTCTATTACTTCTGCTCTGGCCTTCCTTACTTATTTCCCCTGCTGTTGGGACTTGTTGGGTCAAGTTGTGTTCCTCTGTACTATATGCTTTCCTCTATCTTGTGTATGTGGTCTTCATTGGCCATTGGACTCTCTTTTTTCACCTGGGAATCTTCAGTGGCATTCATATCTCACTAAA